TGTGTGTTCCAGTTTCAGAGCTATCTTCTCATGGCCATTCTGGAAGTGTATCTCAACCTTGCTCATTTGTTGCATTATTATTTTTTATGGCAAATATGGGTGATCAACAGGAGAATCAATAGGCTTCAATTTTATATAATGTGCTATAATTATATGAATTAAGATTCTCACCATAATATAAAAGAGAGAATGGATTTTGAAATGTGACTTTTTTGTTTTGTATACTTTCATCATGATCACTAAGCTTATGGGTACAAACTTGTAATTATCTTTAATTTGTTTAAGTAAAGATAAATAATAACATGTAGATATTGTAGCACATAAGTATATTTACATGCTCACAGTTCACTTTCAAATACAATCATTTTTACTGTCATTTCTTTCTACAGGTATTTTATTCAATTACAGCATTGGCCAAAAAAAATGATAAAATACAAATTTTGGCCAATAGATCTCTCAACTACCTTCTCAGTACCAAAAAGTAAAATAATATCAAGAAACATTCTGTTACAGGTCTCAGAGGGGAGGGTAGTTGCCGGAGAGAGTTTCGTGGGTTCTTTTCCTGAGATTAGTATAGAAATAAAAGCCGGGAAACAATTTGCAAAGAGGCAGAAATTTTATTTCACAGTAAAGTGTCTGCTCCGAGAGGAGCCCAGGTGGAGTGCTGGAAAGGGCACGGGCTTTGAGGAAGTATCCAGGGTTTTGAAGGCATTCAATGGGCGTTGCCCATTGGATGGGGGTTTCACATACTGTATGTTGATTGGCTTGGGCTCATGAAGATAGCTGTGCTCTGTTATACAGCCTTCTCCTCTAGTAGCTCTGGGTAGAAGACTGCAACTGACTTGAAAGCATGATTGAAAACTGCAAAGTCACAAATGCAGCACAAGATACAGTGAGAGAAAGGCTGGCAGGTCTGGAGACAAGCTTTCCAGCCACAGCTGACAGTCTGCTTGTGAAAGACATTTTACCTATGTCTGAGGGTCCACAGACCCCCAACCCCACTGGACAGCCTTACCAGGCACAATAGCAAAAAGCTAGATCAGAAATGGAGTGTCCAGGACTGGAACCAGTGTCTACATGGAATGCTGGTGTTGCAGGTGGGTGCTTTACCACAGTGCTGGCCCTTTCTTTCTTCTTCCCTCTCTTCCTCCCTCTCTTCCTCCCTCTCTTCCTCCCTCTCTTCCTCCCTCTCTTCCTTCCTTCCTTCCTTCCTTCTTTCCTTCTTTCCTTCTTTCTGAGATGTATTTATTTGTTTGCAGAGTTGCAGAGAAGCAGAGGCAGAGAGAGAGAGAGAGAGAGAGAGAGAGAGAGAGAGAGAGAGAGTTTTCTATCCGCTTCCATCAGTTTATGGTTCACTCCCCAAATGGTTACAATGGCAGGGCGTAGGCCGACCTGAAGCCAAGGGCCAGGAGCTGCTTCTGGGTCTCCCATGTGGGTGCAGGGGCCCAAGCACCTGTACGATCTTCTACTGCTTTCCCAGGCCAAAGCAGGAAGCTGGATTAGAAGTGGAGCAGCCGGAACTCCAACTCACGCCCATATGGGATGCTGTCACTGCAGATGATGGCTTTACCCAGTATGCCACAGAGCCAGCCCCTGCATTCAATTACTTTAGGGCTAGGAAGATTTTCCACTTTCTCACATAACATTTCTCTGTCAATTAATTTGTCTTTGACATCTTACAATATTTGCATCACTTCCATGTCAATAGTCTTTTGTGTTAAACTCTGAGCCCCAAGATCTACACCCTCATTCTCTCTTTACACTGCACAAAATTTGCTCAGTAGATGAAGCCTAGATAGGCCACCCTAAGTAATGCATCAGTTCACTGTTCCTCTCAACCTTGCTCCTGACTGCATTTTAAAATGTCTCTGCAATATTCATTAACTGTGAAATAATATTTGATACAATTGAGGATATCTGTGACATTCTACAGTACTTTAAAAAATCACAGGGTCATAGTTGTGTTGCAGCCAGTTAAGCTACCACTTTTCATGATGGCATCCCATATCAGAGCGTCCTTTTCCATCCAACTCCCTGCTAATGTGCCTTAGGCAGCAAAAGATGACTCAAGCCCATGGGAGACTCTGATGGAGTTCCAGGATCCTGGCTTCTGTGTCTCTAACTCTCTGTCACCCTGCCTTTCAAATAAATAAATAAATCTTAAAAAATACTAAAATCATAGGTCCTGGCTTTGTGAAATTGAAAAGTAATTTAAAACAGCCTGTGCCTTAGTTTCCTTACACATCTAATGGGTTAGATTTCATATACTTATGAAATATTATGGAGCTTAATAAAAACTCAGTAAATACCAGGTGCAGGCACAATGGGAATAATCATTCTATCTCCTGGCCAACTGATTTTAAACTGTAAATATGCTAAATTTGACTATTATTCAAAATAACCTTATGCATTTGATAACCTCAAATTCAACCTAAATAGTATCTTACATATACTTACATGATTGCCTTTCAATTTAATTATCATATTTCCCCTATTTCTATGAGTAAATTCATCAGTAACTGATTTTTTCTGTCAGAAGTTCAAGGACTTTGCTTCCTCCAACATACACTTTTTTAAACTATTATTTTGCATTTATTTTACTTCATATGTACGCAGTGATTAAGGTTTGTTGATCATCATTCTTAAAACAGTCCTTTATCTCATTCCTATTATCATTCCATCACAAAGAAACCCTTTTCTCAAAGATATTCTCACCTTTCATCCTTTACCTATATCATTTCAATAGTTCCCACATGGAGACTTTAATAAAAAGGAAATCAGATCAGGTCACTAGAATTGCAGATTAATAAACACCTTGTAGCACGGTGTATCATATTCTTCATAACTTACTCATTTAGTTCCTTGCAACATGGCCTGAAGTCATAACAATCAAAATACAACAGCACAAACACATCATGCTCTTTTATTTCTCAGTACTTGCTCTAGTGGGAATGGGCTGCTTATGTTTCACAATTTTTCCTGTTGTGAAGTTCTACTGCTTTTTCATCCAGCAAAGGAAATGGAGACTTACTGGCTTAGTATACCCTACAGATAAATCAAGTACAGCTCATCACATATTATGTTTCACGGTTTGTTTATTCATATTTCATTAACTTAGCAAAAAGGACCAATACTTATCAGTCTTCTTAGTTTGGAAAACTGAGTATGTCTGGTTTATTGTCCTCCTCTAAATTCAGATTCATAGTAAAATAATAATTAACATTTATTGAATGCCTAAGGCTATGAGGTAATAGATCTAGGATTGTTAAATAATAATTAGTATCAGTATACTGAATTCAGTTCTCCAAATTTATTGAACTTATATATTTAGAGAGCACTCACTATTTTTATTGTTTGTGATATACAAAACCTACAAAAGTGAGAACCAAAATATTTTTCCTGCCTTAGAAGGAGAGGCAATAATATAAATATATTCAAAACTGACAAAAATTAAAAAATAGCATGTATATGTAAATAAACTGCTACATGGGTACAAAAATGCTGACTACCTTTACCTCAGATAATTCTGTGAGTGTTAATGAATGAAATACATTTGATCTGAGACTTTAAAAGTACACAAGAAATTTTACAGGATGATAGCTGAACTCATTATGCATCCCAACTTGGAAAAGCAAATAAATAAGAATTAAGATTGAAAAAACATATCAAAATTAAAAAAGAACAAGAAATTCAATGCTCAATAGGCATCAAGAATTTATCAAATTTTAAATGTTAGAAAAGTTTATTTTAGAAACAGGTTTTTTTAAAAAAGATTTTATTTATTTACTTGAGAGCTTGAGTTTCAGACAGTGAGAGGGAGAGACAGAGAGAAAGGTCTTCCTTCTATTGGTTCACTCCCTAGATGGCCGCAATGGCCGGAGCTGCTCAGATCTGAAGCCGGGAGCCAGGTGCTTCTTCCTGGTCTCCCATGCGGGTACAGGGGCCCGAGCACTTGGACCATCTTCTACTGCTTTCCCAGGTCACAGCAGAGAGCTGGATTGGAAGAGGAGCAGCCGGGACTAGAACCGGCGCCCATATGGGAGGATTAACCTACTGTGCCATGGGGCCAGTCCCCGTGTAGAAACAGGTTTTTACTGGAATCAACAGGAAGGAATCACAAACATCAGAAATGACATATATATGCTTACAAATATAAAAGACTATAAAGGTGTTTACAACAGATGTAAATAAATATATCAATATACAAGCTAAATATACACATAAACTAAATATAAATCCTGGATATTGGGAATATATGAAAAATTATACTATAATACAATTTGTATGGTTTGTCAATCAAATACACAAGATATATGCACAAGAATGTACTAAAATGTTTAACTAAAATGAAGCTAATGTAGTGGAAACATGCATTTTTATATATAACAGACATAAAGTAACTATATGAGTAGTAAACAGGAGTCAAAATATAAGATATTCAAAGGCAAGAATTATCAGAGTGGTTATAAATGCAAACATCATGTTGTATGTGAAAAAACCATTTTACTTTTGAATTTACATAAAAATGAAGAAGAAAATAAGGAAAAGAAATAAAAATGGAGCCAAACTATACACAATCAGTTATCTTCATATGATGCACATGTCTTACTTTGCTTTTCAAATAAAATAAACATATTATAAAACTGATAAATTAAATAAATGCTTTCTGGAAAGAAAAACTTTAAAAATATTGGTGTTTATAAGTTTTTCCTAAAATCTTTGACATCTAGACCTTGAAATATTTCAGTAATGTTTTAATGAGTTGCCCAATTTTTTAACAAATATTTGTCTCAATGAATACATTATTTTTTTGTTGTTTTTATTTTTTATGAAAAATAATAGACATATAAAATTATACATATTTATGTGGTACCATGTCATGCGTAATGTTCAATTGGTGAAAGAAATATATATATACACATCTTCAAACAATTTTTGAAGACTTATTTATTTGAAAGAAAGAGTTACAGAGAGAGAGAGAGAGAGAGAGAGAGAGATACCTTTCATGTGCTGGTTCACTCCACAAATGTCTGTAACAGCCAGAGCTGGGCCCATCTGAAATCAGGAGCCAGGAGCTTCTTCTGGAACTATCACATGGGTGCAAGGGCTCTAGTAGTTGGGTCATGATCCACTGCTTTTGCAGGTACATTAGCAGGAGCTGAACTGGAAGTGGAGAGGACAGGGCTTGAAACAGCACCCATGTGGGGTTGTAGCACTGCAGGAAATAACTTTACTCGCTATGCCACAGTACATGCCTATGTCTCTTCAAACACTTAACATTTGCTTAAATATATTGTTTTAAAAATCAGTTTTAATTGGCTTTTTAGTATATTAATTTTAAGTGGATATAAAGAACATAGAAGTCAATTAGCTTTATTCTGAACTATATGGTTAAGTTTGTATCAGAATAAATAATGAGATTCCCAAAAAAAGGAAAAAAAAAAGTGCATCACTCCAGTTCTATAAGTGATGACATTTTTTAAAAAGTATGTACTGGACTGACTTTTTAAGTTATCAGCTGTGTCTATCCTAATTTCATCAAAGACATTTTATACTCGAAAATATTGTATTGACATAATGAAAACTGCACAAAACTTGAAGGAAGATATGAACAAGAAAAGGTTACAAAAATCTGTCTCTCATTTTTACAATGCAAATGGCATCTAAACAGTCATCTCACATTTGGAAGAAAAGCATACTGTATAACCCATGAACCCTCCTCATAATGGCATTTTGCTCATTGCCTTGACTACTAATTGAGAAAATGGAGCATAAAATTACGAAAGTAGCATGGAGAACTAATATTTAAAATCACAAGAAAGCTTAATTGATTAAAAGAGCAATCAGCAGTAGAGTGTTACTTTAAAAATGATCATATGAACTACAATAGAAGTAAAGTTGGGAGATGAGAAAACATAGAATGCCATTCATCCCATTACTTTTTCTAGAGTTGGAAGTATTAAATGCCATGACTTTAATAATATTTAAATAAAGTGTGACAGTTGAATACATTTGAAAGCTTAAGATTTAGAAAAGAACGTTCAGGGTGAGTCACAGTCCAATCCACTGGATTTCGTGGTTGTGTGGTATGTTTAAGGGATTCCTCAGCTCTTCCTTGATTCTCTTCAGCAGTGTTATTTCCATTAACAAGAATCTCCTTTTTCTGTTTTGCATTTAGTTCCATCCTAGAAGTCTTCCCTCATTTTGGATTTCTCTTTCATTTAGTCACTGTTTTGTCAATTCTGAAGTTAATGATAAGGTGTAATAGAAGAAATGATCCCTTCTTCATAAAAAGCACTATTCAGAGATCATGGCATTCATGTAAATCCGTGTTCTATTCTGCAGTGTTACTAGCTTAATTCTTGTGTTTCATTTATTTTTTTCTGAAATATCGATAGTACAATATCTGTGTAAACACTCTCCCTCATCTGCTCCTCTGTAATTAAGTGACTACCCCAGGGTCATCTATTATTCTAAAAATTGCAATATTTGGTTTCTAAGAAAGTTATAATTACACAAGCTAGAAAGGTTGTTCTGCAATTGTTCATCATTGTATTTATTTATTTTTTATAAAAGCTGATAAATTTGGGTAAATATCCTGAGATTTAAAAAAGTGAATAAGAATTATGAGATAAAGAAAAAGCACATGGCTTGGAAAATAATATAAAGGCTGCTTCCATTAGCAAAGTGCAGAAAAAACAGGAAGTTGACGTCAACAGTGAGATCTAGAGGAAGATAAGAAGTCACCAGTGGAAAGAATCAGAAATAAATTATTTCAATATAAAGAAATGGCAAGGGCAAAAGGTCTGAGTAGAGATAGCATCCAAGACATTCTAGTAACTGAGAGAGGACACTGGCTAGAATTACTTGAGTACATAAAATATAATGAAGGTGAAACAAAAGAATGGTCCTATTGTTTGGAGACAGATTACAAAGAGCCTTACTAGTTATGTTAAAATAAAAGAGTAAATATTTAAGTTGACAGAAGCCAATGTTGATTGCAGTCATGCATTTCTTCCTGTGCTTGGCTATTTACCTTGTACATGTGTGTTACTTCACATTGCATTTTCTTCTTTGTCTGTTCTATGAAGAACAGGGCCTCTTACCCTTTTGTTTAGCCACAGATATAGCATAATTCGGGTGGATGTTGAGGAACCATTAATTAAATGAGTTTTTAATTAAATAGTTAAATTAATGATTTAAATGTTGAAGAATTTAATAATGGCTTTTCCCAGCTTACTAAGATACTTGAATTACAATGCAGAAAGTTTTTGGCACTATTCTGTAATATTTTGTTGATTATTATTTTAAAAAATCATTATAAGAAACTCATTCTTAATTTTTAATATTCATTTATATATTTTCATTTTATTTGAAAGAGTAAAGAGTAGGGGAGAGGTCTTCCATTTGGTTCTCCGCAAATGCTTGCAACAGCCAGGTTTGGGCCAGATTGAAGTCAGGAATCTTGAGTTCCATACATGTCACCCATACAGATGGCAAGAACCCAAGTACTTGAGCCATCATCTGCCCCTTCCCAACGTGTGCAATATCAGGAGGTTGTGTCAGGAGCAGAGACGCTGGGGCTCAAACCAGATACACAGATGTGAGATTTGGACATTCTGAGTGTTGCCTTGACAACTGTAGCAAACACTGATCTGAAACTTGCAACTAAGTTTATTAACACTATATAATGAAAACGTATAAAGAATAAGGTTGTACTATTTGCTTAGATTTAAGTCAAAGACAGTTATTAATAAAGACTCTTCAATGGAGATTATTCCAGAAATTTCTCTAAGCCATCTGATCATAACAACCGTCTGTGAATATGACCTTACTATGGAAGACACTAGCATGCTATTAAATTAAATTCAAAATTTTGCAAAATAAGCTCTGTTCTTTTACAAAAAGTCTATTCTGTTTTCACACTAAATTAATTTTAGTAGAATTTTCCTTTCCAGGAACTGTAATAATAAAAATATGGCATTTTGTACACTGTGACCCTGAACAAGTCACATAATATATACTAAACTTCTGTGTCCTCAAAACACAGGCTATTCTTTGATCTTCATTTTAGAAACAGGGTGAAATACAGCAGGAAGGGGGTTGCCAAGCAAAGCTCAAGCGCTTGAACATGGTTACCTATTAAGAATATTGGAGAACCTGATCCAAGGATACAAATTCTATTTTTTAACTTTTATTTAATAAATATAAATTTCCAAAGTACAGCTTTAGGATTACAGTGGCTCCCCCCCCCCAAGCTTCTCTCCCACCCACAACCATCCCATCTCCCCCTGCCTCTCCTATCCCATTCACATCAAGATTCATTTTCAATTATCTTTATATATAGAAGATCAATTTAGTATATATTAAGTAAAGATTTCAACAGTTTGCACCCACATAAAAACACAAAGTGTAAAGTACTGTTTGAGTACTAGTTATAGCATTAATTCACATTGTACAACACATTAAGGACAGAGTTCTTTCTTGGGGAGTATGTGCACAGTGACTCCTGTTGTTGACTTAACAATTGACACTCTTGTTTATGGCGCCAGTAATAACCCGAGGCTCTTGTCATGAGTTGCCAAGCCTATGGAAGTCTTTTGAGTTCGCCAACTCCAATCTTATTTGACAAGGTCATAGTCAAAGTGGATGTTCTCTCCTCCCTTCAGAGAAAGGTACCTCCTTCTTTGATGGTCCATTCTTTCTTCTGGGATCTCACTCACAGAGATCTTTCATTTAGTTAGTTAGTTTTTTGTTTTTTTTTTTGTTTGTTTTTTGTTTTTTTGCCAGAGTGCTGTTTAGGACATCTGCCATTCTATGAGTCTGCCATGTATTCCACTTCCCATGTTGGATCGTTCTCTCCTTTTTAATTCTATCAGTTAGTATTAGCAGACACTAGCCTTTTTTATGTGATCCTCTTTGACTATTAACCCTATTATTATAATCAATTATGAACTGAAACTGATCACTTTGACTAGTGAGATGGCATTGATACATGCCACCTTGATGGGGTTGAATTGGAATCCCCTGGCCCATTTCTAACTCTGCTGTTTGGGGCAAGTTCAATTGAGCATGTGCCAAACTGTACATTCAAATTCTATTTTTAATAACTGATTTGTATTTTACATTGCATAATATTTAATAAGCCTTTGAGCTTTGAAGAAATGTGTTGTAATAGCTAAATATTTTTTCTATATTCTCAATATTATTTCATTAAACTGAAAGGCTATTTAAGATATTTTAGAGACTCATAATTCATATTATATTTTCCTTCTAATTATAAGTGGTATTCTGAAAGCATTGATTTCTTTCTCCCTACCAAATCTTGATCTTAGTCCATAACTCCCAATCTCAAGTCACTCATGGAGTACAGAAAATTTTTGTCAAGTTTACAGCTAAAATAAAACTGAGATGCAGATTTAAATGGTTTTAAGCCATCTTAGAGACATGAGCTATTAGGTAGTTATTACGTATTAACCTGAGATTGATAGCTAATTCTTTTGAGAAAGAAGGAATCTTTGCCAATGTTTTTGTGACAGATCAACAAACTGGGAGAAAGACAGGACTAAAAAATGTGAATAATAAAAGCTCATTTACTGTTTATTTTTTGAAATTGAGAGATAAAAATATAGTAAATTCAAATACCAATTGAGATATTTTTATCTTATTTTCATTAAAAGGTGCCATCGGATCAGTGCGGTGCGCCGGCCGCAGCGCGCAGGCCACGGCGGCCATTGGAGGGTGAACCAACGGCAAAGGAAGACCTTTCTTTTTTTCTCTTTTTCTCACTGTCCCTTCTGCCTGTAAAAAAAAAAAAAAAAAAAAAAAAAAAAAAAAAAAAGTGCATAATATATTTAACATGGTCTTTGTCTTTACAAAAATAATATAAGTTCAAAGCATTAGATTATATTCTGACCATGACAAATATCTCAGTGCTTAGAATGTCATACACTTTGTTATTTTAAAGTTACCTCATTCAATCTTCAAATCAGTCTACCATTATGCTCGTTGTGTTAATTTTCACTGAGAAGTCATATGATTTGCCTCTACAGCTCATATACGCTCTCACCTATAATTTTTATCCTGTTAAGCTCAAATTTTCCCTTGTTTAAGAACATCATCATTTTCATTTTGTAGATTAAAAAATACATAAGTATAACCTG